TTTATATATATATATATATATATATATATATATATATAAAAGAAACAAAAACCAAACATGCTGGAGCTGAATATCAGTGGCTTGAACAATTAAGGGTTATAGATTAGGTATAAAGGTGCCAACATCTCTTAATAAATATTAACTAAATATCATTTAATTAAACTAAATATCATCAATTATTTCTAGTAGGTTATTATTGTGCTTTTTGGAATAGCACTTGTTCATGATTCTCAGAAAATGATATAATCTTAAATCAAATGTTAAGTTCAGGAAATATTACAAATTTCTGGTTGCTATGACGTTAACCTGAATTTACAAACTTGATTCTTTCTCAAATAAATGAGGCTCTCCCCTAACTTTTTCAATAGCTTTAGAGCTTAATTGGTAAGTGGAAAACACTTTTTCTTTTTATTTGTATACATTACTGTAGTGTCTTTCATTTGCATACTCATGGGTCCAAAATGAAGAAGGCTGAGAAAACAGGAATCTCCACTCTTCTTCTGAGGGAGAGCAACTTTTTCAACAAACAGAAGAACAGCTGAAAATGGTAGCTGCAGCCGATTTATTCCTGATTTACAAGAGAGTGTAACAGAGAAAGAAAGCTATGTGGAGTAGCATGCCCACTGTGAAAGCTCTTTTCCATGGTTATTAGCTTTCTGAATAACTGCACTTACGCATGTAAAAATCTTAGTATATGATATAAATCAGAGCTTTTTAAAGCTGTAGCAGATTTGATGTTTTGGATCAGAAAATGTTTTTCTGATGAACCAAAAACAGAAATAAAAATAAGCTTTTTTTTTTTTTTTGGTAGGAAGTGCTCTTAGCCAGTTGAGATCCTTCAAGCGAATTTGACCAAATCCTGACACTGGGTAACCAATCAGATATGGCAATGTGAACTTGTTTAGTTTTTAGAAGCTTGTTCACCTCTTATAGGGTGAATTAGCTTGTACTTTCAGGATCTTTACTCCAAACTGGCAACCTTTTCATCTCTCTTGGCACCATTTCTTGAAAACCTACAGAAACCTTTCATTAAAAATGTTCCTGCTCAAAAACTGACCCAACTTTTCTTTTCTTGGAAATGTACGTATTTATGTATATATTTATGGTGATGACAAGCAAGTGGTCCCCCTCACCACTTCAGTTAGAAATGTTAAGGTGGGGACAATGTGCCCTGGCTGACTGTTTCACTGTTAGAAAAGGGTTATGGATCTTCCACTCTGCTGCTTAGAAAACCGGGTAGGGGGGCGAGGAGGTGATTTGTGATGGCATTTTGAAGCAATGCTTCAATCCAAAGCAAAACCCTTATATATGAAACCATTTTTTTTCCACTTTAATTTGCCACAGTAAAGAAAACAATTTACTTCTGCTTTATTTGCCATCAGTAGGACTTTTTCATGATCGTACAGTTGAAAGAGGATGGAAGTCATTCCTTATTAAAAAAAAGAAAAAAAGGAAAAAAGAAGGAAGCTGGTTTAATTGTATAAAGAGGAGATCGTTTCCTTTGTAAAATATTTCACGAGCTGGTATGATGATTACAACAAAATTGTTCCTCAACAAGATGAATAAATAATGAACATTCTTTTTCTTATGAATCCATATTTTAGTTAACAGGCTTACAGCAACTTGCAGAATTTTTTTTTTTTTTAATCAGGAAAAGGTGATGAGCTATGGTCCCCTGGGAATTCAATTGTGAAAACAATCTCGGTTTTGTACATGCTAATATAGATCTGTTATTCCCTTTCCACATCTATTGCAAGACATTTTAAATTGTGGCTGATCTTTTATGCAAATAGCTGTCTTATTAGACATTGTGGCTGCATGTGCTAATGTCTCTGTGGGTTTCTTGGGAGTTTGCTATCTAACTATCAAAGCAGTTGAAATGAATGATGATTACTGAGCAGCAATGAAGAACAAAGAAAAGTCACAGCAGTTTTAGAGGTCTTGGTTGCCACAGAATCAGTGACAGCTTGAAGCACGCATACATTCAAGAACTTCATCTTACTAGACCAAACTTCTTTTTTAATAACAAAATTAAAATTATGTTCCGTTAGATATTTTACTGGGAGTTCAAAAATTATTTTTTTCACTGCTGATGTTTTGTTGCAAAATATTAAATTGAATAGGCAATTTAAAAAAGGTCAGCTCCTTCTGGTGAAGGAAATAAACTATAACCTGAGTGTAATACCTGTTCATCTAATTGTCTTTGTTTTTGTTCCTCCCCCCTCCCCCCATATCTCAAATTGAAGATAGGACAAAGAGGGAAAAATAAAAAGAGTGTGTGTGGTGATGTTGTTTATTATAGTTTTATTGTTCTTATTTTGTTATATCATTTTTAAAAATCTTATCAGCAGGGGCAGTTGTAACTATCACAGTGTTCCTTAATAGGTTTTACGAATAGTTTGTGAATGATGCTCACAATTCTGAGAAAAGAGGGTAAACCTATTAATATCTGTAGTGTATCTTTGAAGAGTTAAAAGATAATTAGAGCTTTCATGGAGGCCATAGGATAGTCATTTTGAAGGACTGATTCTTTAGAATAATGCTGAAATTCTTGCTGATACAGGCATTCATCTGATATATGGTTTATGGTTCATCTGATATATGGTTTATGGGCTGTGAACGGCAATGTCTATTAGAGATCCAGTTGGTTCCTCCTTGAGTGGTTTGCTAGTGCTCACTGCTGAGTTGTTTAGATCTTCACAAGACTTCTGACAAGGGTTTCCTCCCACCACTAAGAAGAGTTGGAAACTTAAAATAAGCCATGGGCTCTTATAAACTTGCTTTTCTTCTTAATGAGGGTGAAAGTTGCTGGCAGGTGACATATGAAACCTTAAACAAGCTAGCACTTGCTGTTGACAAGTTGCTTGGGGCATTGAGAAAGAGAAGACTGAGCTGGACCTTTCAGGGATGTTAGGAAGAAGCCATTAACTATTGGAAAATGCAAGTACAGTTAGGATGAGTTTCATTTTGTCAAGATGTGTGACATATGTGAAAGAGTCCATAGATTAGCTTGTATCATCACATTTTCAGCATCTACAAATTCTGTGGGGTTCTGAGATGTATATATAATTGTTTATTTGTAATGATGCAAGGTAGGCATAATCAGGTCACTATAGAAACATCTGCTTTTACACATCTCACTGATGATTTCATATAAAATAAAAACGAATGCATGAGAAATTAGTGGGAAGAATCTCATTGAGCAGAATTTGGTGCTACAAGTTACATTGTACTGTATATATAAAATATGTGACAGGGAAACTGGTAGCAAGGCAATTTAATAGAAAGTACTGTGATATAGAAAATCTGTGTCTGTCTGTCTGTCTGTCTGTCTGTCTATCTATCTATCTATCTATCTATCTATCTATCTATCTATCTATC